TATACCAGCATTTAAATTAACGACCGAGTGCGGGCCGGGCATACTGTCGGTCCGGCTAAATATTTAGGCCCGTACCATGATTCGGAGCCGGTTGATTGTTCTTGAAGATTGTTGAGCTCACCGAGCTCTATCATCTGTTGTGTTGTTTTGCCCACATCTTCAATTCTGAAGAGAGATATCAGCCGGCCGTCGACAAGTATCATAGTAATACTTTTCTGAATCATCCAAAAATTGACAAAATTTAATTTTTTTTAAGCAAGCGACTGCCGTTCAACTCGTAAATCAGACTCATCTTCAACAGAAACCAGTTCAACAGCCAATTCCCTTTACCTCTTCATCATTATTTCCCTTTCCCTTCTTATCTCTTGTATCAGTTTGTGATAATTTTAGGATTTAAAATTCCTGTTCTCTATTAGCTTTCAAATGTTTTTATTCACAATTTGGATCTCAATACCTTGTTTTCACTTCTCCCCCTGTCTTCAATCCATCTCCATTTTTGCCACAAACTCATCGAATTTACCTTTTTCAGTTTGATTTTTTTTTCTTCCTTCTCAAAACGGTGTATCTGATTATCAGTTAAATCAAATGCTTACTGCTTTCCTTTTTCTTTTTATTGTAATTTTCAATCAATTCTCTTTAATTGCTCATCAGAAGAGGAGTTTACTTGTTTTAGTAAATCACTTTTTTTAACTAGTTTAAAATTAAATAGGTTTTTTAGCTCATTTTTGTTTTCATGATTGATATTACACAACAACTCCAGAACGAGACAGCCAGCAGTAAGGGGCGTGAGAGAGCGAAGAGAGAGAGAGGGTGTGTGTGTGTACAGTGTGGTCAGTGTGGTCCTAAAAAATGTTCTTATTTTCCTTCAAAATCGTTTTTGAAAAAACACCCTTCCATACATGAGGGATTTTTGTAAAGGTTTTTTGAGGTCGCGAAAATTTTTGATTTTTCGAATTTTGATGAATTAGCTCGCGACTTGGTATGTAGGGTAAAACAAGGGCTGGAACGTTGCTTCTTTTCGAAATATTTAGGTCGCGATTTGAAAAAAAAACAATTTACAAATTACCTCATTTATGGATCTAGAATTCTGGAGGATCCTTCTATTACACGGACCTCGATTTAAAGGGGCTCTTCAATTTGTCAGGCCCTTTCTTCCAAAATACTTCATCGAAAAATTCGGTGAATTCTCGATAAAAATTTATGAATATGCATCGATTTCAATAAAATTAAGAAAAAAAGAGTATTTCAACAAAGATCGGAAATTTTGGAGTTTTCGGAATATTTTTCATTTAAAAAGTACTGAACTTTTTAATTTCAGTACTCGCATTTCGAAAGGGCTCTTCTATTAAAGGGGGCCTTCTAATACAGGTTTTATGGTATATCAGACTTCGAGAGTAATTCAGACTTTGGAAAGACAAAGAAAAAAAACTCGAAAATCGTTTCATGAAAGAGTTGAAAATAAAGTACTTCTGTGATAAGTTTCAGTAGAAATTGGCGCCGAACAATAAAGTGCCAGCCTCTAATTGAATGCCCACCCCTAATACAGTGCCACCCCAGACCACCTCCGAACAATATACACGGTGTTTTTTCAGGACGTTAAGTAAATGCTCTCTAACGCGAATACTGAAGTTAAGCGCGCTGAGTATCGACGCGCATGCTTTAAAGGTGATGTACGGTGAAATTTTTTATTGCATCAAAATGTGCAAAAATGCATGTANATTGAAATAAAAATAAAGAAAAAATTCCTTCAGCGAGAAAAACGCATCGAAAAATACGCTGAAAGCCCTTAGGGACGAGGTTTTTTCTAGGCCGCCCGGTGAGTAAAAGCGCGCGAATTCAAACTTTCAAAATTTTTTCGCTCGTTTTCACTTTTTTTTCGGTTTTTTCAAGAGTTTTTTAGGGTAGGTATAGGTTTTCAAGAGTTTTTAGGCCGTATTTTTCGATGCGTTTTTCTCGCCGAAGGATTTTTTTTTCTTTATTTTTATTTTAATCTACATGCATTTCTGCACATTTTGATGCAATAAAAAATTTTACCGTACACCACCTTTAAACTGAACTGCTGAGTCGCTACGCAGGTGTGTCATAATAAGTTTAGCAGCATTGATTGCTTTTTTCCAATGCTTACTGAAATCTAGCTTGCTAGAAATTAGAAAGCCTAAATCTCTTGTGATAGTTACTCTTTTTATATCCTGATTCCTTATCTTATATTTCCAATATTTTTTTTGATTTTTGAGCTCAAATTTTTGCCTCCGGACCGCAAGATTAAGAAACTGTTTTGAAACCAGGAAGCGCTCTTTTTTTTGGTAGATCGACTTTCAAATCAAAACACGGGTAAAGTTCAGGTCTCTCCCTACTAGGGAGTCCCTAGTTATTCCTTCTGGCAGAAGTCTACCGAAACAGTCAGTTTTGAGCTCAATTATCTCTGTTCTTGTGAAAGCTATCAAAAATCTGTTCACTGATAAAAATTTTTATGATATTATGATAAACAATTTATCAGCTGACAAATTTTTGATATCTTAAACGGGAATCGAGATGATTGCGCTCAAAGTGGACGGTTTCGGTGGGGCTTCCTTAGAAGAAAAAACCAGCTTACGAATAATATACAGTGCGCGTCATAATTGTAGCTAAACGATTCTGAATTAGATCTGACTTCATTCGGAATTAGATCGAATAACTCGAAATTCTGAATTAGATCTGAGTTCATTCGGAATTAGATCTGGACTAGATCTAATACCGAAGTTGCCACGAGAAATGCGCCATCAATGACTCAGCTGCCGCGGATGAATTGTTTTGTTTTTTGTTGTCCTAAATTTTTTTCGTCAGGAAAATGGGTTTTTCTCTCAACTTTTGCTTTTTTTTCGCTCGGTTATTTTAAACTATATTTTCTGGAACATATTTTAATGTGTTGTGTACGTTTTTGCAAAATTTTAGGTAAATTTTTTTAGGAACAACTGAATATTCAAAGTTCAATTCATAGAGAAGACAGTAATTCTATGAACCGACAAAAATACGACGATTTTGAAGATTTTAAATTCGGAGAAAACACTGCAGGTAATTTTTGCCCTTTTCAGCTTAAAGGATTACGTAAAAACGATGCAAGGGATCACCGAAAAAAACAAGAAAAAAAAGAGATGATAAATTTCTCTGATAGTGAGCTCAATTTACACAAGTCGAGAAGGCCTTACTTTCGGAAGCCGTGTCTTGTCATGAGCAGGTTAGTTTTCGAAAGTGTGGTGGACAAAGAAACATGTGTGAAATTGCAGGCTCTCAACCGAATGTGTCATGACCCGATTAAAACGATTCAAAAAGTTGGGATTTGTTGTATAAAACAACTGCTCTGATGAATTTATTTGGATTTGCAAAGATTTGAGTACGGAAATTATATTGAAATGGGGTCAAGTAAGTTTATTATCCTCATCACAAAGCCAAAAACTTCTTTTTTCAGTTAAATCGACATTCATTTCATAAAGAATATCCATCTTATCTACAACCGGAAACTATGACAAGAGAATTTTCAAAATCGAAAATATGGACGAGCGGAAGAATACGAATTGAGATTTTTTTTTCATAAATTTTGTCACTTTTTCTTATCTCATAGGTCCCATTATTCTCGCTGATCTCATCGTTTTCTTTTTTGCTGATCCCATTAATTCATTTGTATCACATCCCTCATTTTCGTTCCGATTTCCTATATCTAAATTTTAATCAATGTTTTTCTTTTTCTCATACTTGTTCTGTTTTCTTTTTTAATAAATTTTATTATAAATAAAGTGAATGACGTTGAAAAGAAAACAAAATTTGAAAAGCGCTCGCTACGATGCTCCGAAATCCCGCTGGTCTGTTCGGAATTAGATCTAATTCGTTCGTAGTTCATTCGGTGTTCGTTCGGAATTAGATCAGCTAAATTCTGTATTTGATCATGCCACTTCTATTTACGAACGAACCCAGATCTAATTCCGTATGAAGTCAGATCTAATTCAGAATCGTTTACCTGAGAGGACACCCTTCCGGGATGAGCGTTCTGAAAAAAACCAAAAAGGCCAAAACAAATCTGTAAACGCAGTTCGATTCAGCATGTAAAAAAACTAATTGTACAATGTTTCAGCTCCATGGAACCATTTTTAAGCTCACAGGGTTCAAGAGTCACTTTTTGGCCGCCTCATAATTATAGGGCACCCCTGGGAAATGAAAAATCTGAAGTTTTTTAAGGAAAAGTTTTTAAGTTTTTGTTGGAAGTTTTCAAAATAGTCTCAAGACAACTTTTTTGACAATATACACTAATATTGAAATCTCTATTCAAGTTTCAGAAAAAATTTCGTACATTTTCGTCATTTTCAGACTTTTTGAAATAAATCTTGAATGACTTGGCTCCTGTGTTCTAGAGGTAGATCTAATCCGAAAGAGTCAAAGTACTCTTTTGGATTAGATCCAACTCTAGAACCCACCTCTAGAATATTTTTCTATTTTTGAAATAGCAAACCCAATGAGTACCTTTACTTTCAGAAGAATCTAATTTTTTAATTTCTACTTCTTTTTGGTACGACGAATTCGAACGCTTCCAAAATCGAACAGACCTAAAACCGAACATGTGTCAAAACAGAACAAGAAATTCGAACTGTGTCGGAGTCGAACTGTCCCTAATTGGAACGCTGTTAGCCATGGGGCGCGCTATCATTATTTTTGTTTTCTCATTTTTTCCCCGCAAATTTTTATTTTTCCTT